AGCCGCAGACCCGACAGCACAAGCACCGGTGCGTACGGCGAGGACTGCGAGCCGGGAAGATACACAAGCGGCGTCGACCTCGCGGCAACCAGCAGGGAGTCGGTCACCGTCAGCACGGACCCCGCGGGGAACGTGCCGGTCAGCACAAGCGCACCGTTCAGCGCCTCCACATAGCACACCGACAGCTCCACCGGTCCGCTCTCGTCGCTCCCCGCCGCTCCCGCACCGCGCAACGCTCCACCGCCCATCACGTACAGCACGGCACCGTTCTGCAGCGACACATTCTGCACAACGATCCGCACGCCGTCCCGCACCATCCACGGCACGTAGAGCACCGGACTCACGCCGTCCAGCACAACGTGGCGCAGCGTCACCTCGCTCGCGCCGGCAGGCAGAACGAACACCGACCGCACCGTCACGCCCTCGCGGACAAACGCACTCGACGCAGTTCCCACAGCAGGCGGCAGCGCAGGAGCTCCCACAGGCACGCACGCCTCGCCGTACCCGCCACTGCCGCACAGGCAAACGCACACACCGTTCCTCATGCTCGCCGCCGCCGTCCCGGGCGCGTAGCAGTGCGTGTCCCTGTCGCACGCGTCGCACCCAACAACGTCGATGCTCCCAGCGTCGCCAAAACCAGCCGCTGCGTACTCCTCCGCCGTCGACAGGACACGGCCACCAGCGTCGTTGCACGCAACCCTCAAATGCGCCCCAGCCGCAAGCGACAGGCTCAGCGACAGCATCCGCGGCAGCAGCGCTCGGTTGCGCACAAAGCTCAGCGTGCTCCCAGCAGCGGTCACAGCGCCAGCGGCGTAAAGCATCTCCCTCGAGACGCCGTCGTGCACGTTGCCCTTCGCCAGCAGCATCGACCCGCCATCCAGGCTCACCGTCGAATAAAACGCCACCGCGTATTCCTCCGTCGACGAAAAGTCGCTCCGCACAGGCGCTACAGCGGAGCCCGACACGCTCACAGCCCCACGCACAGACACCGCGTGCTCGCACAGCAGGAAGTCGCTGTCAACAAACGCCACCACGGAGCCGCCGCTGGCAGCAACACCGCCCTCCACCGACACGCACAGCCCCAGCGCCGTCTGCACCGACAGCCCGTCCACGTACAGCGCACCGCGCGACGACAGCGCCACGCCGCCAACAAACAACACGCCAACAGCGTCGCGGAACACAGCCGCCACCTGCGTGCGCGCAATGGTCAGCACGCTCCCAGTCAGATTCACGTTCTGCACCACAAGGCACGCGGACGCGTCGCCAAGGCCGTGGTCTCCGCGGTACGCAACACGCTTCTCTGCAATCAGCACCGAGTCCACCACAGTGACGCGCGAGCCCGGCGGAAATCGGTTCGCTACCACCACGCCGCCGCCGGAGCGCGACTCAAGCCCGCTGATCAACACATCGACGCGCTCGCCAGCAGACAGGTCGGACCGCCACCCAACAACGTACAGGCTCGCTCCGCGCACAAACAGGCAGTTCGCCAGCGTCACGTTGCGCACGCTCCCTGACATCGACCCCACGTCCACCACGACGTCCGCCAAAAAGGTCACGCCAAAGTAGCACGCCACCGACGTCCCGACACCGGCACTCACCTCCACATCCACACGCACCTCCCGCACGCACAAGTCGGCGCCGTCGGTGCTCGGTGGCTCGGGGACAGCCAACCGGGGCAGGCACACATCGGCCGTGGCCACCCTCAGCGCAGGCGCAGGCGCAGCCATCACTCGAGG